ATTTAATGCTATTGAGGTCGCTTTCGGGCTCATTACTTCCAAATCTCCCACATTGATGGGCGTGGCAACCCCAGCAGTGTCCATCTTTGAGAGCAGTTATCTCGCTTCAGAGTACGTCTTTCGAAGCGGGACTTGGGCAATTGCTTAGTTAGGGGCCTCGCTATCATAATGTTTCAATATTTCACAATCCCACTGAGAAACTTGGGTGTATGGTGCCTTCAAATAGTTGATACTCTAGAATTCTTCTGACAATCTTATCTTTGAGATAATAAAAAAGATTTTATTGAAGGTTTGGCAGCGCAACGCCATCCGAGACCAGTAGCGACAAATCTGCCTCCTCACAAAATGAAATGCTTGAAACAGCTGATAACCTGGTGCCAATGGTGGATAGACTAGCTTCAAACCAATATCCGGAGCTACAATCGTTGGTTGAGACACTAAAGCAATGGCAGAATGTGCTACGGGTTAGCTAAATTTATAGTTTCGGATTTTTTCCCGAAATTTTGAATGTCTAATTTCTTAGAAGTACAACCAGCGCCGAAGTTCACTGACTCGCTCTTCGCTTTTCCATACTCCGAGCACGGCAAGTGAAGAACTTGACGACAATGTTCTGATTGCTGGAGATTTACAGTACGTCCTACCGTAATCCTACCGTAGTCTACCTTACCAAATCGTTTAGCTCTGAGAACGACAGCGGCATCGACTCTCTTCGCCAGCGATACTCGCCATTCGTTAGCGATGGAATGCGCAAAAAATATGGCGAAAATGGTGGCGGAGGACGAAAAGATGGCAAACGTTTTCGACAGGTAATTTTAACTTTCACGTTGGCCCCGCCCATTTTTGGCAAAATTCGCTCACTCCGTTGGTTTACAAAAAAATCTTTTCTGCGCACAATGCGCATAGAAGAGATTGGGAAATCTCAGACAACCTTAAGGTCGTCTGGCAAGATCCGCCCTCCTTTTGGAATCCCCTGAATTTGCACGATTTCTTGATTTTGAAGCAATTTCCAGCACTTCTGCTGAGTGGACGGGGCTTGCACAAGTGGGCGGGATTGCTCGTAAAAGTGCATGGGAACATGTAGTTCGCAGCGACAGACATGAAAAAAATGGTGTTAACACGTCGAACACGCAACAAAACTAAAGCGCCACAGAGATTGTCGAGCGCAACTGCGGTCCCGTATGGAATTGCCCTGTAGCATTACGGTTCCGCAATCGGCACACTCTTTGATGCGATTTTTGATGGACTTTTTATACCAGTCTCATTTAGATGAAAGAACGACGAAAATCCTTGGGAGCAATGCTGGATCCAGCTGAACTCGAACAAATGTACCTAGAAAGTGATCGTTTTTGGGAAAGCCCAGATGATGACACAAAGGGAACAGCTACTGGAAATGCTGAAATTGATATGTGTCTACGATATCATTTGTCAAGAGTGTCGAGATGTTTGCAGGTATTTTTACTTGAATTCTCTGACCTAAAAATATCCGCCTCTTACGAAATTTCTAGTAATAATTCTTTCAGATCCTGCAATCCATTTCCTCAGACTCTCCTTTGGTTTACAAATCAACTGAAACTCTAAAAAGATTGGAGGTGGAAACGGTGACATTGGACGATTTGCTACGATTAGCAAATACTGTGCCAGCAGTGCCAAATGTGGCTAATGGTCAGTTTTTGCTCCAATAACAATGGGGGTGAAGGGAAGGGGGGGGGGTTGAAGCTAAATAACTGTAAGAAAATTCTTTTTTCAAATACGAGTGCCTTGGAATTTCCTGCACAAATGCTCAAGAAAACAGAGAGTTTATCTACTGGTAAAAGATAGAAACGGTGTTCTCTTAATAATTGGACCGAGATGGCCCTTATGCCCTTATGCTTTTTTACCCTTATCTTGATCGTGAAGGCAATGTCAAACTTTGAATATTTGGACTTTTTATGTGATTATCAATTGGGAGGCCCTAAATAGGCCAGTGTTCAAATCGGAGCTCGTATGATCTATTCGTGACCGAAATATTTGACTTCAAACTTGAGGCCAGACAGTATCCTACCGTAATCCAAGCGCTTTTCGCTATACGGTCTGGGCCTTTTGAAGTCGAATATACGATAATCATAAGAGTTGCAGCTTTACTGATCTTGTGGACGTGTAGAGTAGCCAGTGTGCCAGCGCCGTGCTAGACCACGCCACGTGAACGCGTTCCTTATTGATTGATAGATACCGTTGGCACGGTACTGGCACTGCGCTGGCACGGTGCTGGCACGGTGCTGGCACAAACAGCTCTAGACGTAGTTTAAGGGTAGAAAATTAATCCACATAGAAAATCAATTTTTCCGGGCCTTTTCAAAAGGAGTAAGATGAATTTTTCCAGTCCTAGCCGAAATTGGTGCTGACCCATCATTGCAAGAGATTTGGCTTTCTGCTTGCTATCCACTTCACACTCAACTGATTGCACCAAGAGATGATCTTCGCACTCAAATTAAACTTAATATCGCACACATTGTTGAACAAAATTACCCACATCTTGTTAATAGAGGTTAGTTTTTTTTTTTGAAAATATTTGCTTCACGAAAAATAATATTTCTTTCCAGTCGCGGATTCAATTATTCGACTAATGGCCGATTCGACACAAGAGGAGATGAAATTCGTTACAGTGTTCCATTTTGTTGGCGTATTTAGAGGACGACATTTTGAGTCTTATGTCGAGAATCTAGGCCATGATGGTTAGTGTGTTTCGAGTCAAGAGGATTTTTTTCTAGACGGGACCTACTTTATTCTTACTTTTATGCCAATGTATTTTTAGCATGGATGATTTCTCTTCTGTCGAGTGGACAAGCATCTCGTGTTCTACAAGTGGCTGATCGTTTATCAAGAGTTCCAATAGTGCCACC